TCCCGGGACCACTCTGAAGCGACTACTTCGGGGGGTGGCTGTGCTCATGCACTTGTCGTACGCTCAGCGCTAGCTGGCGTTGCTAGTTCGCTGCTCTTCTCTCCATTTACGCTGCAGCTCCGACATAATCTGCGTGACTGCCCTGCTGACGGCATTCCAAGTGTCCTCCTCTCGACACATTTCATCGACGACATTCTCCACGTTAAGGACGGGCATCTCCGTTCGCACTGCCTCGAACCTTGGACAGTCGAATACCACGTGCTCCGGCGTTTCATCGACGTTGCCACACTCCGGACAGAGGGGTGACGCTGCGTGTCCGAACCGATACAGGTATTTCCTGAAGCAGCCGTGGCCAGACAGGAACTGCGTTAGGTGGAAATTGACTTCTCCGTGTTTTCTATTCACCCAGGTCGAAAGAATCGGTATTAGTCTATGTGTCCATCTACCGTACTCCGTCGTGTTCCACTCCTGTTGCCACTTAGCCAATGACTCCACTCTCACAACTTTCCGTACTCTTCCGGATTGTCTCAGGCTGTAGCACTCGCTGTCCTCCGCCAGGGTGATGCCGATTGGGATCATACCGGCATACTGCTTCCGACGAGATGGTTCTGTACGCACTCACGACTCGCATGGCCATGAGCCGGAACGTACTGCTAAGTTTCCTTTGGTTCTGCTTCGTTTCCAGCGCTGGAACCCAGGCTGGAACTCCATATCTCAGTATCGATGATGACACGCTGGCCAGAAGACGCCTCTTGCTACTGCTGGGACCAGCGTTGTTCGGCATGATTCTAACTATCGCGTTGATGGCCTTCGAAGCCTTCACACAGGCATATTCGACGTGGATGTTGAAGTTTATCCGGTCATCGATCATCACTCCCAGGTATTTTAACACACGCTTCGAGGCTATGGTGTGCTTCTTGACGTCGATCGTTATCACGGCGCAATATCGATCTCCTCTCCGCTTCTGTTTGGACACCTTCTCAGCTCTCTCGATCACTGTCCGAATTGCAGCCACCGTCGATCTCCCTTTCCGACAATCCGTGCTCACTCTCCGTGTATTTCGTCAGCCTGTTAAGGATGATCCTCTCCAAAAGTTTTCCGAGTGTATCCAGCAGGCATATACGCCTGTACGATGTTGGATCCCCCGGCGGTTTTCCTGGTTTCGGCAGCAACACTAGCTTCTGTATCTTCCACCTGTCAGGGAAGTGACCCTCGTTCAGGCATTTCTGCAGCACCATCCTGAACATGTCCTGGATTACAGGATCGCCGCTTTCAACGCTACGTTGGGGATTCCACCCGGACCGGGAGCTTTCTTCATCTTCAATCCTTTCGCCACTGCTAAAAGTTCCTCGTTGGTGACTTCGACGTTATCTCCCTCTCATTCTCCGTACGGTGTAGGTGGCCAGGTTGTTGGGTCGTGCTTCGGGAAAAGTCCTTCCACGATGACTTTCAGCTTCTCTGGGCACATTTCAGCGGGCATCGTTGGACCTCTGATCTTCGCCATCACGACTCGGTATGCGTCGCCCCAGGGGTTGGCATCAGCGTCTCGACACAGCTCCTTAAAACAGTTCGACTTGCTCTGCTTAATCTCTCGTTTAAGTGCGGCCCTGGCCGCTCGAAAAGCTTCTCTTCGTTCCTCTCTGTCTGCTTCCGTTCTTGCTCTCTGAACACGTCTTCTGGCTCTGAGACAACTAGCGCGGAGAGTGCTAAGTGCCTCGTTCCACCAGTAGACTGGACGCCGTCTGTTATTTGGCTCCAGTTTCCTCGGCATGGTCGTGTCACATGCTCTCACTAACGTTTCTGTCAGCTTGTCCGCATTTAGATCTGCGGGACTCCTGTCCACACGAAGTGCCTCAACGAACAGATCCTTGTCGAGAGCCTTCGTCTTCCACTTTTGGTCACAAGTTCTCGTCCTCCGTACTGCCACAGTATTCCGTTGGCCGATGCCATATCGTATCGCCTGATGATCGCTATGGGTATATCCTTCGCACACTCTCCAATCCATGTTTTCCATCAGCGACGGACTGCAGAAAGTAACGTCGATAATGGATTCCCGGCGATCTCTGCGAAAAGTGCTGCTGGTGCCTTTATTGGCCAGCATAACTTCCAGTTTTGCCAGAGCTTCCAGCAGACTGTGCCCTCTTGCATTGGAACATCTGCTTCCCCACTCCTCTGCCCAAGCATTGAATTCTCCTCCGATGACTACCGGTCGTCGTCCGATCAGCTCTTCGGTAAGTCCATCTAGCATCACATGGAACTTCTCCATCATCCATCTGGGGGGTGCGTAACATCTACACATGAAGATTCCGTTGATTTTGGCGATCACGAAACCTTCGTATGAGCTCGCAACCACTTCTTGAATGGGGTATCTGCCCATAACTTGTATAGCAGCCATGCCAGCTCTATCCGCCACCCAGTTGCCGACTGCCACAACAGTTGCTGAGCAATGTCGCAATGATTGAGATTTATTTGGGTTACCTCCATTACTGTTGGCCTGCCATCGCCTTTTTGTATGCTAGGCATTTGAAGCCTCCCGTCGTATGATCGTTACCGTCCTCTTTTTTGCAGAGCATACACCTCGGTTGCTTATGCAGCCTCTTGCAATATGGCCTTTCTCTCCGCATTTTCTGCACAGATCAGATCTGTCAGGGCCATTGCAGTTCCTCGCCTGGTGACCGAATCCCATGCACTTGAAGCATGTCTGACCACGTGTGCCAATTAAAGTGTCCAGGTGTGCCCAAATTGTGCCGAATCTGTTTTCGACTCACTGTGCGGAGTGACCAACCCCTTGGCTTCAAGCTTCTTCCGGCCACATCCTCTGACAGAACACTCCATTTGGTGAATTTTCACTTATATGTGATAGATAGAATTTTTCAAATAAACCTGCTATTCCACCAGATTTATTTCTGACAGACGAGGAATCTATTTTCATAAACACCTTCTCGAAAATCGACCGATCAACAACAGAGCAGGCAACAGAGGGATTTTCGAGCATGTTTATTTATTTTAGAAATGTAAAATTTAAGTGAAAATTCACCAATTTACACATTTTAACTATCGTTCAAAGAACACTATGTTGAGTGCAGGCATAAACTCGCGTAAGAGAGAAAATTAGATCCTTCCATCTACAAATTTGCTCTTTCCACGATGTCATGATGTCTTGATCAGGGATTGAAACTGATGTTGTTTTTTACTATACTCGCTTCATTGTGATGCGCGACAGTCTGTTTGTATTCGTACTCTCATGCTCTACCGTCGTCTCTCTTACCCAACACAAACGGTAGAACAACATTCGAGTAAAAAGAAAATTATCAAATAACTATGATATGACAATTTGGTCAATTTGGTGTAAATCAAACCATTTCTGATCAGAAATGTTATTACTAGGACATTGTTGCTTACTATTTTCAGAATTCACACAGGCACAACATCAGCAGCTCTTATTATCAGAAAAACTAAAATACATACATTCGTGATGGTCGTCGGCGACAGTGTCGTACGACAGAGCCTGTCATATGACATTTTAGTTTGGTACTGCTATTTGATATCTTGTTTTGCAAGTGTCGGAAGCAAAGGCAGTCGATGATCACAGAAAATGTGTCGACTACGGTGACCGCATACAAGACTGGTGTTGATTATATAAGCGACTATTGTGCCCATAACAATTGATTAAACACAAATTGATATGGTCAACACAGGGATCCAATTTGACAAATGATCGTTTTAAAGCACTAAATCTGAATCTCATGATTTATTACCTTCCACATGTTTCCTGATTTGAATGAATTCCTAATCCAACTTCAACCTATAACGATCTCCTTATAACCATAACACAACTCCGCCCTATAACCTCCTTTCGACAAATATAAACCGCAAACAGAATGCGGAAACGCAACTGACCGCCACCGCCGCGCCGTGCCGGTCGGCTGCCGTGCTACATTCTGCTGCGGGCCGTTCCAAAAAAAAAAAAACAGTTCACGATTTTTACGACCGGCCGAAAGAGGGGGAATCCCATACACCATCCATATCCACAATATACAATCTCTTGCCATTACCGAACTCATAAATTAGCCTAAATGCAGCCACTTATACGTTCGCACCAGAGGGGAAACCCTCTCGTATCTCTTGTACCTAGGTGGTAATATCTTCTATTCTGTTAGGGGTAGGTAGGTAGCAGTTAGTGAACGAGAAAAAAAAATGTTCAAAACTCCCATCAACACCATTCCGCGATCGGAGCCAATCAAATAAAATATCTTTGCAAAGCGAGCGTGTCAAGTTCAATAAATCATTCCTCCAAGCAAGCCATGATCGCTCGGTGTCCCGCGCTGTCAATCAAGATACGAGATCCTACTACCAGCCGGAGCCTACTAACAAATAACTGCTTGATCTGAATTTGCTCGCCTCTGCAATGGCCGAAGGGAAGTACCCACGTGTTTCGATACTTTCCAGCATGTTCAATCCGGTCGATTAGCATACTCTGCCCATAATCGCATAACTGTCCCGTGTGGATAGTAAATCAATCAAAGATGGGACAGATTTGCGATTATGGGCAAAATACCGGCCTGAGTGGCACATGCTGTTTAGCTGGCTAACTTCCTTGGTACCAAACATGCAAACAAACAAGCAAAGGATCGTTAACATGAATCGATCCTGCTAGGCTACTGCGCGGCTGCAACTGATATGATACCATCATCAATCATCGTTCGGAGATGATGCCAATTTCGCAAACGGGTGTAGATATTTATAGCGAATTGCTTCCGCCGATCGGGACAGGTTTTTGACATTTTCGATCGATCGTTACATAGTGGTTGTTTTGATCGCAGTAGACTGTAGGTTATGTTTTGAATCAAACTTCTAAATTTCTGGTGAAAAACCATGCAAAAGTTTTACAAACACGTTGCGAATTTAGTCCAGCATCAGCTGTTTGAAGTAACTTGATTTTAAGATAAATTGAACCAGACAATAACTTTGCTTTTTTTTCTCATTCAATCTTCCTACAGGATGACGAACCGCCCGAAATCTGCGTGGTGGAGGGAGTATTCTCCTTGCAGACGCTCACCCCCACCCAGCCGATGCCGACCGTCGACGAGCTGGACAGCAAGTTTGCCGAACTCGTCGAGGAACTCGATCTCACCGCACCAAACAAGGCAGCAATGCTCAGTCTGCCACCGCAGAAGAAATGGCAAATCTACTGCTCCCGCAAGAGCCCACTGGACGCCACCGATCCGAGTGGGGCTCCACTTCCCGGTGTCAACCTGCCGCCCACCCCCGAGCACTACATCGAACGACTGAAGGACATGGCCGTCCAACTCAAGGCTTCCTCGCCGGACGAATCTCCCTCGCACGAGTACAGCCCCAAAATCGAATCTCACACGGCCCTGTTCGATGCCCTCAAGACGGCCCTGCGCACCTCGGCGCACAGTTTCGTCATTCGGTTCATCGAGCTGCAGGGCCTGCCGGCACTGCTCGAACTGCTCCAGGCGTTGGACATCCGAGTGGCCAACAGTCCACTGCACACTAGTCTCATCGGTTGCATCAAGGCGTTGATGAACAATTCGGTAAGTGGTTGATACATAAGCAAGAGGTGCCTATACCTACACATGGGGCAAGATGAAACAGAACAATAATTGACAACTATACTGCCCTGTGCGGCATAACAGTCCCATTAGCATTTTTGGCGAAAATGAGAGTTATACATTGGATTGTATTGGCAAGTACCATCACTTTACAATGTACACGAAAAGTTTCCTACTTTGTTCAGAAAATGTCGCGAAAAATACCAAAACTAAGACGATCTTCCAAGGTTTGAGTTACCCGGTAAAAAAAAAAGATCTCAACCCTCAACCCTGTTTCATCTTGACCCTCGTCCCGGAGTAGTAGGGTAGGTACACCTCGCATGACCGTTTTTTTGTCCATAAATCGCTAACGCCCAGAAACCTCAATCCACAGACCGGTCGCTCGCACGTGCTAGCCCACCCCACCGGTATCGATACGATCGCGCGTTCCCTGGCGGCGGACAACATCAAGACGAAGATCGCCGCCCTGGAGATCCTCGGTGCCGTATGTCTCGTCCCCGGAGGCCACAAGAAGGTCCTGACGGCCATGCTCAACTTCCAGGAGTATGCCGCCGAGCGGGTCCGCTTCCAGGGGATCGTCAACGATCTGGACAAATCGACCGGAGCCTACCGGGACGATGTGAATCTCAAGACGGCCATCATGTCCTTCATCAACGCAGTGCTGAACTACGGACCCGGTCAGGAGAATCTCGAATTCCGGTTACACCTGAGGTACGAGTTCCTGATGCTGGGAATCCAACCGGTCATCGATAAACTGCGGAAGCACGAAAATGAGACGCTGAATCGGCACTTGGACTTTTTCGAAATGGTACGGAACGAGGACGAGAAAGAACTGGCCAGAAAGTTCAACCACGAACACGTAGACACCAAGAGTGCAACCGCAATGTTCGATCTGCTGAGGCGGAAGCTGAGCCACTCAACGGCTTACCCGCATCTCGTGAGTCTCCTGCAACACATGCTCCTGCTTCCACATACCGGTCCAAATGCCCAGCACTGGTTGATATTCGACCGAGTGGTTCAACAGATCGTCCTACAACAGGAGGAACGTCCTCCAAGCGAAATTGACCCCGACAGTCAGGACAAAACGTCCCAATCGTCGCTGAAACTCCAAGACCCGGACATCGCACCGCTCCAGATCGACGTTAGAAAAATAGTCAAACTTTTAGTCAAAGAAGAAGAACTGGTTGCCGCCCGAACCCGAGCCGAAGACCTCGAACGGGAAAATTCCGAAATCAATGCCAAGCTGGCCAAAAAGGAACAGGAACTGGACCTGCGAACCCAGGAAAAGGAAGATCTCGAAACCTCTCTGGCCCGCATGCGGGAACGACTGGAGAAGGAAAGCGCCAACCACTCGCAAGCCGTACAGCGAGCTATGAATGCCGAAATGCGAGTCGAAGATCTCCAGCATCGGTTCGTCAGTGAACAGCAGGAGCGAATCCGCCTGGAACGACTAGTCACCGAAGGAAGCATTCCGGACGATCAGAAAGTCGCCGGACTGCAGGGTTGCAACGGTCAAGTATCTCCTCCACCTCCGCCTCCTCCCTGCAAGCTACCACCTCCCCCGCCACCGATGATGGCCGCCCCACCACCTCCACCCGTACCCGGAAGTTTACCCAAGATCGCCAACCCGAACGTTCCGAACCAGCCGGCACCGCCGAAACTGGAAGCCCCGAAGAAGAACGTCCCCCAACCGGCCAACCCGCTCAAGAGCTTCAACTGGTCCAAACTTCCCGACAGCAAACTCCAGGGAACGGTTTGGAGCGAACTGGACGACACCAAGTGGTACAACAGCATCGAGCTGGAGTCTATCGATAAGCTCTTCTCCGCCTACCAGAAGAATGGCGTTGCGGTAAGTCTAAGGTTTTTTTTTCGGTTCGATTATCGCTTAGTTTTTTAAGTTCCATTTACCTCTTGAGTTCGATTCGTTTCTAAAACTGGCAACACCACCACCAGTATACGTTTCCATTCCAGAACGACGGTTCGATCGAGGATCTCCGCTTGATCGGGAAGAACAAGACGAAAATCCTATCGGTGATCGACGGTCGGCGGGCGCAGAACTGTACCATCCTGCTGAGCAAGCTCAAGATGAGCGACGAGGAAATTTCCAAGTAAGTATCACGACCGAGACATCGCTGTTCGGAAAATCTTACTCGAATTGTGACAATTTCCCCCCCCCAGAGCCATTCTATCGATGGATTCCAGTGAACAGCTGCCAATCGACATGGTCGAACAGCTACTGAAGTTCACCCCGTCGGCCGAGGAACGAGCCCTGCTGGACGAACATTCCGAGGACATCGATTCGCTGGCACGAGCCGATCGGTTCCTTTATGAAATTTCCAAGTAAGATGCAGCGAAAGATATTTCCACAGGGTCTTTAAAATTGCTTTCATCCCCCGTCCACACAGAATACCTCACTACGAGCAGCGTCTGAGGAGTTTGCACTACAAGAAGCGCTTCCTGGTGACCGTGAACGACCTTTCGCCGCGAATCGCCAGCGTTATGGAGGCATCCCGGGAGGTAGCCCGTTCGCGAAGACTCCGAAAGCTTCTCGAGCTGGTCTTGGCCCTGGGAAACTACATGAACCGCGGTGCACGGGGCAATGCTTCCGGTTTCCGGCTGGCATCGCTTAACCGATTGGCCGACACGAAGAGCAGTGCCGCCAAGGGCACGACCCTGCTGCACTATCTGGTGCAGATCATCGAGAAGAAGTTCAAGGACATTCTTTTCCTGGAGGAAGACCTACCGCACGTAAAGGAAGCATCCAAGGTTTCGCTCGGGGAAATGGACAAGGACATCACGATGCTGAGAGCCGGACTGGCCGAGGTTAATCGGGAGATTGAATTCCATCGGAGTAGCGGAGTACCGCAGCCAGGCGATCGGTTCCTGCCTGTGATGAGGGAATTCCACGCGCAGGCTTCCGTGCGCTTTGCCGAACTGGAAGATCAATTCCAGGACATGAAGACAAGGTAGGTTGATTGAGCACTCATCCACTCTGATGATTGACGACTGACGACAATGGTTACGATTTTAGGTTTGACCGGGCGGTGCGATTGTTCGGAGAGGACGGTGCCGTGGTGCAGCCGGATGAGTTCTTCGGCATCTTCGATGGATTCCTGACCGCACTGATGGAAGCCAAGCAGGACAATGAAAACTTCCGCCGGCGGCACGAGGAGGAAGAGAAACGAGCAAAGCAGGAAGCTGAGGTAAGTTGTTGTAGGCGCAAGTGGGTGGTGTCTGGGAGAAAAGCATAAACATTACAACATTCCCCTCTCCTCCGCAGCTCAAAAAGCGCACCATCGAGCGCAAGTCCAAGGAGGGCCTGCTGAATTCGGTCGCCAAGAACTTGGGCCTCAAGTCGTCCAAGAGTTCAAACGGGTCGTCGAACGGTGGCAGTCCGGTGGCCGGAGATGCCAGCAACAAAGGTGAGTTTGACGATTTGATTTCAGCCCTCCGGACGGGGGACGTGTTCGGCGAGGACATGGCCAAATTTAAGCGATCGCGCAAAACACGGCTGGGACCGGCCACCAACGGAGGCAACAACACTTCGCCGCCCCGGAGCCGCAACAGCATCAACCGCGAGGACAGCCGGGAACGGCCCGTCGTTACCAACCGGCGGCAGTAAGTTTCAATTTACGATTGTTAGCAGACAGTCACCTTTCGAACCAAAGGTGTGTTGAAAAATTGTGGACGTACTTTTAGAAGCGGTTTGTTTTTGATCAACTTTTTTTTTCGGGGAAATATTCCCAATTTTTTCTGTTATTTGTACACCTGTAAACGAGAAAGAGACCAAAAATTTGTGAGTAAAGCTCAAAGAAAAATGGATGATAAATATTTGTAAACAAAACAAACAAAAAAAGGCACCTTTGCTTTGTAGGTAAAGTCGAATATGTTCCGGTTATTCCAAATAGAGACTGTTTGAGCAGATTTGGAGGAAATCGCCGAAAAAAAGTATAATTAGATAAAAGATTATAACACGATAATGTTTAAATAAAGATTTTTGAGAATGTTTTACACAATCGCACGATACAGAATAATAATAACAAAAACAACAGCAACAATAAAGCTAAACGAAAATATACACCCAGATGGAAGCCAATCGTTTTTAAAGTAAGCTTAACTCTCGTCGATGTAGTTTATATAGGAACGTTATCCAGAGCAAGAAGAATGCTTACATAATCATCATCGTTACACTCCTGCACGTCATTTTCAATCATTTTAAGTTACCATTTTCCTGCTCGCGTTTCTTTTGCGCAGGCTCAATCGGCGGAACTTTACGGAGCCACGCTTGTATAAAATATGTTGATTGACTTTTGTTTTCGAATTGTAAAAATCTTCTCCTGTTTCTGTATTTATTCTATAAATCTCATTTCTTCGACTAAGCTATTATACGCGACAGCTGTTACCCCTAAGAAGTATTCTTTCTAGTGACGTTATATGCATATCTTCCCTGTGTTTTTTTAACCTAGAAACTTCTACACTCTCCAGTCCAAGCAATCGGTTGAGCTTTTTGAATCTTGCTTTGCGTAGAGGGATTTTCTGTATATAACCTAGAAATTGGTAATCGATAATCGATAAGACAAACTCACAAACGCTATAAGTATCACAGAAATGGCATCAACATAGTCCTTTTTGAAATTAAAGAAAAAAGTTAGATTAGCCAGATGTTTTTCCTGTTTTTAAATGAAATATTAAAAAGAAAAAGAGTAAATACCGTAGCCTAGCAAAATGACGGAACAAACGTTACAAGGACAGTGGTTTTAACATGCACTTTCATCATCTCATCTATGTGCTTACTTCTCTCATATAATAGCCTTCCCAGCTAGAAAGTTTAGAGATTTAAAAATTAAGAAGAATTTTAACAACAAATCCAAACTGCACACACACACACACACGCATTCATACAAACGCGATTAATCTAGATGTTCTCTGCTTAGCAACAAACCGTAAGAAGGAACAACAAATAGTCGAATCAATAGCATCAGCTTAGACTTCCATGAACTACAAAAAAAAAAACCTTGAAACCCATAAAAGGGCAGTTTCACAGAACAACAAGGCACGGGAAAATTGCAACTGAGTTTATCGTGGATGAAAAGATTGAGAGGAAAATGCCAACCATCGATTTTGACATGGATACAAACAACCCTATTATTACTTACTATTCTATATTATTATTATATATATTAGACTCGCGGATGGAAAAATTGATAATATATACAATTGCACCATGAGGACAAGTCAAACGCTGCAACATTGTCGGAAAAAGTATCGAATAATAATTCAAACGTGTGTTGGTTCTTTTAGATGACAAATTCCTGATAGTAAATGGGCCTTATTTCGGGTGTCACTACACGGTGATAAGGAAGTGATGCTCAGAATAAGAACCGTGGTTGCCGTACAAATCAAATGGGAATCACTTCATCGTGACGACAAGTGACAAGTTTTCACCGTGAAGTGACATCCGTAATAAGCCCCAATGTCCCGTTACCTTCGTTGTACCGTATGCGTGATAATGTTTGCACTATCGTTCAAATAAGGTTCCCGTTTCACCTGTGCATACAATGCTTTGGTTTTCTTTGCATGCGCGTAACCTATGCACTGAAACAAATCGACATGTACCGATTATTGGATCCATCTTATAACATAGCAATGTCAGCAGATTTATTCATTCTATGTGATGATTGATAGATTCCATTGGATTATCACTTAAAAACTATGACTGCGATATGGAATGATTTCTATTGTAATTTCACATGCTTAGTATAGTCACTATATTTATAGTCTGGCGGATAGGATTTCGATTTATCAAAAAGCGGAACAAATTCAATACATTGTAGATCAACTATTGAAAAGGTACTATCAACTTTTATAAACCAAACGTTGGTTATCCTTTCCTTGGCAATCGAACGTAAATTACCAGCATCATCGAATAGAGGAAACTTTCCCCAACCCAAAGATGGTGTTAGTTTGCGTAGGCGAGTCTTGAGTCACGAGAAAAGGGTTTCCGAAGTGCTGATGTGCTATTTTCTGTTGTTGGTCGTGATTTGCTCGATTGGTTCCAATATTTGACAGCTCAGTTGGTTCCCGAGATTCTATCCGCCAGACTATGAATATAGCGACTATAATGCTTAGTACTTGATAATACTTCGCTTCGAGCGTGGTTAGCGATAGATAAGATGTATATGAATATTGTCTGATATATTTCATGGTGGAAAACTGGTGATATGTAATGGGTGGGAACAGACATATATAAACTAATGGAAAATCATATAAGTTTGTACTATGAGAAAATTTAGTAAAATATACCTGTTTTCATGATGAATATTGCTCACTAAAAGATATATCTTATAAGATAATTATGTTTATTTTATTGGAGTTGCTTTTAACGATTTTTGACGTTTGTTGATATGACGTGTGTAAACAGACAGGTAGAAACTATTGGACAGTCATTTAACTTTGCAGTATAGAAAAACATGTATATCTCATTGTAATACCTTCCTTTGATTTTTGATCTATCCCAATCATTATATAGTCATGTAGATTTGCCTTTTAATAAATTCATCAGCAAACATTTGTTTTGGCATGGATGAATATCGCTCCCAATAAAATACATCTTACATGATTGTTCTTCATAAATTATTGAAACAATTTTCAACGATGTTATCGTACACTCATTAAAATGATTAGTCGAACTAAATATAGCTAACAACAATGATACTGTATTGAATAATCCTTGATTGCTAATGTTCCATAAGATAAGGGGTTCCGGAAAAGAATGTACACTGAAGTCTTTTTTACACGGTTTTTTTTACGCGGTTTTTTTTACACGGTTTTTTTACACGGTTTTCCATGATTTACACGGTACGTTTTTAACGATTTCTCGACAACGATACAACCTATCGACTTGATTCCAATCACATTATCCGTTTCAAGCTATTTGTAATTGAATGGCATACTTGAAAAAAAATCACAATTTTTGGTGTAAATACAGAAATTTTTAAAATATATCTATATGGACCATATCATGCTTTAATTACAAATGGCATCAAAATCCGATTTTTTAAAAACATTTAAGCATGCGAAAAATCAAAATTTCGTAGGTTTTTTTACACGGTTTTTTTTACACGGACCGTATCCCCCGTGTAAAAAAAGACCTGAGTGTATTGAGATTGAACAAAATGATCCTACTGCAATATTTACTTTGCTAAGATTCTAATTGTAAACCTTCTACACACACACTTAGAAATTATCGCCGACTCCGGTAATTTTTACCGAAATCTGAACAGCTGAACTGTTCGGTAAAAGCTACTTTGAAATTAAATCTCTACTAATATGACAAGATTTGATCATTTAAACAAGGTTGAACATGTTTTGAAACTATTTTCAAATTCAATTGCCTTTAAAATGAAGGTACAATTTTTACCGAATGTTCAGTTGTTCTGACTTCGGTAAAATTTACCGAACACGGAAACAAAATCTTAGTGTGCACGGCTAATTCAGATTCCAGCACTAGTACTCGAACTTCATGAACCAGTTCCATGAACTCATATAATGTAGTCGTTGTTTTATTGCACACCCAAACGGAGTATAAATTTGTCAGTGCTATTTGTCTTCACTCTAGCAAAACGAGCATAACGTTGCACTACATTCCATGTCGGGAGAGCTGTTCTTACTTCATGCTAATTGAACGAGCTCAATCTTGAAGTCAGCCGTGGCCCAGTGGAATCAAGCGCAGACACCGAAAGCATCACGCCTCAACAGTTCTTGATCGAATCCCAAATCAGCTACAATAAAAAAAGACAAAACTGTGAAAGCTCCCACTGCTTGATGTTTATTTTCCGGTTTATTTTCAGAAATAAGTGTCAAAAGAAGATGTAAATTTCATGTGATTTTCACATAAACTTTACTTCGATTGATTTATGACACATATATTATATTGTGGTGAAAAGTAAAGCTTATGCTTATGGGTTTCAAATCCATTTCAGTTAATTATTATAATTTGACCGATTTTCATTTATCATATGACGATCATATAAAAGTTACCAAATTATCAGCATTGCAAATGTATCAGATATTCATATAGGATTTACCTGACACATTTTCAATCATATCATTTTCATTGGATTATCTTATAGCGCAAATTTATTAGATTTCCACATAACAGGAATATGTCATATTGGTTCAGTGTATATGGATAATGTTTAATTATTTCCACGTATACCATATGATCTAGACTAGGATAATATTTGTGGTATCGAAATATCGATTTGGAAATCCTAGAACATTTGGCATAAACGGATGATCCACATAGACACTGCAAATTTGTTTGGGCATATTTCAATACTACTGATATTGAATTAGTCTTGATGATGATCTAGTAGAAAAATAATCTGATCTCCAGAATGATTTCATAACCTATAACATCTTGTACGCGTAGCAATAGGTCGGGTACAATCCACATAGACACTTTGAATCTGTTTGGACATATTTCGATACTACAGAACAAATCAACTGAACTCCAGGACGATTTGGAGAACCTAGAATATCCGGTATACATGGCAATTACTCGCATATATAAAGGGCGAACACGAAATTATTGCGACACATTCAACAGGGCATAACTTTTTTACCATTGGGTAAAAATCAACCAAATTTTTCACACTTTCTCATTGATGTTTATTGTGTACATGCTGTCAAACTCGAAGTCGTGTTTTTCGATTCAACGAAAATGGAGGTGAACCAACGCGAGTTGAGAGAACAAATTCTTTCCAAACACCTGGAATTTCCTGACCTGTCGCACCGGCAGTTGGGAAAAATGTTGAACATTCACCATTCAACCGTCTCCAGAGTGTTGAAGCGGTTCCAGGAGCGGTTGACGTTGGACCACGGCAAAGGAGCTGGAAGAAAACCGGGACCGGAGAACAAAAAGACGGAGGGAAAGGTGAAGCGGATGATTAAAGCAAATCCCAACGTCTCAAGCCGTGATTTGGCTAAAAAGATCGGCATGTCGCAGAGCTACGTCCAGAATGCAAAGAAGAGAGCTGGACTACATACATACAAGGTACAGAACTTCCCAAACCGCGATGAGCGTCAACAATCGACGGCTAAAACTCGGGCACGGAAGCTCTACGAGAAGATGCTGACAAAATATGGCTGCTGTGTGATGGACGACGAAACGTATATAAAAGCCGATTTCAAGCAAATTCCGGGGTTGGAGTTTTTCACCGGCAAGAGCAAGTTCGATGTGGACGACAAATTTAAGAAGAAGAAAATGTCGAAGTTCGCCTCCAAATATCTCATTTGGCTGGCCATCTGCTCTTGCGGACTGAGGAGTGAGCCTTTCGTGACAAAGGGCACAGTAAATGGCGAGATCTACAAATCTGAGTGGCTCGAGAAGCGCCTTTTGCCGTTCTTGCAGCAGCACGACGAAGCTCCGCTATTTTGGCCAGATTTGGCATCATGCCACTATTCTAAAAGTGTCCTGGAGTGGTATGAGGCCAATTCTGTCCATTTTGTTCCAAAGGACATGAATCCGCCAAACTGTCCGGAGCTGCGCCCGGTGGAGCAGTACTGGGCAATAATGAAGCGGGAACTTCGGAAGAGCAAGAAGACAGTCAAAGACGAGAAGGACATGTTAAGAAAATGGAAAAAAAAAAACTGAGAAACTGGTACCGGATGACACTGTAAAGACTTTGATGGAGGGCATCAAGCGAAAATGCGTTCAATTTTACACTTAAGGCTCCATCGATTAACTTTTCTTTTGATTTTTGAAGTAAATATATGTATAAAACTACCCTAAAATTTTGGTTTGATTCTAAATATTATAAGAAAATTGGCATGACATTTTCGGTGTCGCAATAATTTCGTGTTCGCCCTTTACGATTCGTTTATGATTTGTTCATATTGAAAAAAAAAAGAAAATGTCTAACATTGGACAGACCTCATGGAATTTCCGTGTAAATCCGGTGTGACTTATGGAATTGAGATCATTTCTCGATTATTTGCAGGGTGTGTGGTTTGAACCGGTAAAAAATTGAGAGCCAAATGAACAACAAAGTTTATGACAGCAGAATAATCCGGGGCGGAAAGGTTACAATTAATTCCACATTTTTTGTGACAGCACATCAGTCCCTTCGCGATTTTCACGACATCATTAAATGTTTCCGCGATTTTCGAGACTGAAAGTTCAAATTCGCGAGAAATCTGCAAAATTCGCTAAATCCGCGCTTGTTGTAACAGCCCTGCATTTCGAATAAGACGCTTCCCTGCGGGAGGAAGGTCTATTGCATCTGGGTAAGCCGGGATCCGGATTCATCATACAACAACCTGCAGGATGAGGATAGGCATCTGAATCTGACGTTAACGTTCAACAGCGTGACTAGTACGGTGGACAACTCGTTTGGGCAGGCCATCAAGAATACTGCTGCAGCGCAGCACTCGGATCGGCCCAGTTCCGTCACCCGTATGTGCGTAGGGCGATGGAGATTTGATCCACGGAGAGTACAGCAAATATTACACGCTGGTGAGGAACATCGGGAAGGGTGCATACGGGTATGTGAAGCTGATACTGAAGAAGAAGCTCGTGCCGCAGTTTATGATTACGACCGAGGAGAAGCGGGAAATTCCAATGGAAGTGTGCATCCGAACATTGTTGTTGGATCTTTCGACAGAGTGCTAATGGCGGTTGCTTTCCTGCACTCGTTGAACATTCTGTACCGGGGCATCAAAGAAGAGAACGTTATCATCGATCACAATTTCCACATCAAGCTGATTAAATTCGGTTCACGACGTTCGTACAGGAAGGGCAAGTTTTTTTCTACCTTCTACGGAGTGTTGACAGGCAATCGATACTCCGATCCGGAACTGGAAGATTGGTCTGACGATATCTCCAGCAGAGGGATGAATATTCTTTCCACCGGTCTCACGAGTCTGTCCCCCTTATTCTGCGAGTCACGTGACTCTCTCTCACCGGTGAGGTGACAATAGTCACCTCGTGTGAGGTGACTCTCCATTTGATTTACATGGAGAGTCACCTCACCGGTGACAGAGAGTCACGTGACTCGCAGAATAAGGGGGTGTATCTGAGGGAACCAAACGGAACGTGCGTTAGTTAAAGCCCTACAGTAAAAGTATGGACGTCTGTCAAAAGTTCCAATCGAAACGATAAAAGGCACCGCTTTGCTCGATTGGACCAGCTTTTTCAGTTGTGTGGTGACAGTCGTCCATACTTTAACTAGAGGGTTTTAGCATTAATCAGGTCGATGGCGATCGGATTGGCCAACAAACAGCTTTATTACTATACTAGAAGACAATTTCGGTACAGATGATAGTGAGATACTGCTGGTTATGTTGGATGGTGATGCTGACAATAAGGATGGCGATGGCGATGGTGGTGCTGGCGACCGGAGAATGGAACGACCGGAAGGCCCACTGGAGTCCTTTTTGATTGGGTCGTATGTAACACTTTTGTCAATAATTAGAGAAACGGGGTGTTTCGTTTTGTTTTTGATTCAGTTCCAACCTAGATCGGGTATCAAGATTGGGTCTGCTTGTTGCCTGTAAATCTTCAGTGTGAACGTTTGTTTTTTCATCCTGGCTCGGGTTGAGGTTCGCACTGAAAATAACCTCGGGTTGGAACTGGTTACAACCTGGATAGTAAACAAATTCACTATAAGTGCATGAATAAAGGGTACCAACACATTTTATAGAGCCAGACTCGGTGCCAGGTACTCTATTTTGTACTCTGTGAGAGGGAAATCATAAATCGAGTATCATCAGAGCACATGCACGGCCAATGAAATCAACCCAAATTTGAGTTCAGTTTACTCATAAATCGCAAAAACTGCAGGAACTCAGCGATGAGTAAATTTGCCTTATGTTTTTCCAGGTTTTCCAGGAAAAAAAAATCACGTAGGGGAAATGTAATGTCGAATTTGGTCCCATACATAAATTCAGCAATCGACTAAATTTTCAATAGCGACCAAAATATCCATTAGTACCGTCCCAATGACACGTTCATCTAGATAAAATTGATAAATAGCAGATTTTTAGCGATGCGCCTAATCTTAGATCCATTAGACATTAGTCATTTCCCCTATATGAGAAAAGTAAAGATTCGATTCTCTCAGTACATATATTGGTGCTACTCCTAGAGACTGAGTAAAGTTTCCGTCAATTTTCCTCATTTTTCGACAGATTTTTGAGGTTTTCATGAGACAAATTTACTCATCGCTGAGTTCCTGCACTTTTTGTGATTATGATTAAACCGAACACAAATTTGGGTTGATCTCATTGGCCGTGTTACATGTTGTGAGATCTGTAAGATTGAGCTCGTGTCGTGAGTGAGAGAATAATGTGAGAGACAAAGTAGCTTACTCTCTTGGTAGTGAGGTTGATAGTAAAGTGTATGGGAATGAACTGTTTTATTGATTTTACAATTAATTAACAAGTAAATTTTAAAGTAAAAGTTTCACACAGGGTAGATTTTTACTATCTCTATACGCTTTGCGATGAAAAAGCTTACAAACCCTAATAAAAATAACCATAAACGAACGATAACCCAAATCATTGAACTATTTCACAAATGGTTTGGATGATACCCAGAACACGTCGTTAAGCAAATTAACCATACAATTTTTATTAGGGAAGTTTTGTTTACAAAAGCTGATAGGCCCCTTTCAGCTGTTGGTCGAGATTTGTTACCTCAAGAAACGCATCGATGCACCCCCAGTTCTGCGCTCCGCTGTTCACCGCAAAACACGAACGCGCATCAAAAGTGTTTGACATTTTCGCCCATCACCAGTGAAAAGAACTAAACAATCGTTCTGCCGCAGTCGGCTTTTTGTGGAAGAAAAATAATTTTGTCGCACTCAATTTGCATCGATTACTCGAACTCAACACATAATTTAACGGGGTAAGTACGAATCAGTCGGAATCAGTGGATTGCGGTCGTAATTTTCATGGTCGCAAATGGCTTGAAAAGTTCTCCATGAAACCACAACAAACTTGACAATACTCACCCTGCGGTGTAACCCGTTCACAGACAACTGGACCACTAACATCAATACTGTCATGGTTGAAATAAAAACCACCAGCATAAATCGATTTTACTCTCGTTCTACAAGTTATACATAATGTCGGAAGTAGTGCGCCATTGTGCGATTACAGCGTACTTCTTCCGACACTATGTATAACGTATAGAATGAGAGTAAAATCGATTTTCGCTAGTGGATTTTTCCAGCCGTTGACGAATGTCTCTGGGCCGGGAGGCTATCTTTACTCCAACAGTGTTTTTCATTTACGTGTGTGTTTTAAAAAAGAAAACAATGTTCCCTCCTTCACTTTCGCACGTGAAACCGCAAAAAAAATCACACTCGTCTCACCGCCAATAATTCTGTTCCCTCTTTCAGCGCGATGGACGAGTCCATGGAGGAACACTATTATCAACCGAAAGTGGAAACGGTGATCGAGGAAACGATACTTGAGGAAACCCCACTAGATCCGGACGCCATCGAATCGCTAGATGAAGCCCAAACAGTCGGTCAGGAAGGATCTACCTACACAAACGAGTTCACCGTTTGTAAGTTGAAATACCGTGGCCAAACCAGTGACCCCAGTTTGGAAAATTCCTTCATCCGATGGAGTTCGATCGAAGAATTCATCGATAATCTGTTTCAACTGGTCCAGCCATTTATCAAGCGTGCCATTGAGTTTCCAACGCCAACTGACCCATGCTGGTCGGAAAAGGAACATCCCACGAAGGAAGATTTGCCGATGTACGTTTCGTTCAAAGACCGAATCCAGAAGCGGTCCTGGCGAATGGAACACGTCGATGAGCATATGCTACTCAGGTGGGCCAATCGGGTGCTCGTACTGCAAGTGTACATTTATACGATTGACATACAGTCGCGACCTATGTGGGATATCGTCACACAGGTTCTGTTTGGCAATCCGAATAACACTGCTGTGAAGAAGATCATCATCAAAGAGCTGAGCGAGGAACAGAAACTGCAAGCCGTTGTTAAGAAGCTAAAGAAAATACATCAGGCCTACCTGGTTCCAAGGACGGACGATGCATACAAACTGTGGGCTCGGTTGATCGTGCAACAACCGGTCCGGAGGCATCGAGAACTTTGCTTTAATAGGCCCCCGAAAAAGTTGCTACAGAATTTTGTGATTATCGGTAAGAAGGAGAACAACAAGCGAAAGATCATTTCGGGGCCAGCCCAGCGGAGCCATTCATCCGATGGGTTCGGGTTTGAAGATGAAGTGTACGCCCTACGACAGACCGTGACGCAAATCAAGGATCTGGTAGAAATGCTAGATAGGAGGGTGGAACTGCTGGAGGAGAAGTGTCAAGGGTTCAAACAAAAACGGAACGGTGTTCCGATCAAGAAGGGAAAAATCGATAGCGATAATGGTGATCAGAATGGAGAGCAGAATGAAGAACCGGTGATCGACGAGCCTTCAAAGGACGACAAAAACCTCGAAGGAGGCTACAGCGGAAATCCTGATCCGTTATTGTTTCACGATTCGATCGACTTTGTAAAGCAAGAGTTTGCTGAGAGTGAATCTGATGGTTAAGTTAGTATGATGTGACGAATAAATGAAGTTCAATGGAAGGCAAGGAATTTCTTTCCTCTTAAATACAACAGCTGAATCCAAATATGCAATACATTGCATTCCCTTAAGCTTATACAGAAACAAACATAACCGTACTTACAATCATTTTCCGATTTTCCGCTTGATACTCTTCACCAACAGACTGGTGGTCACATCCTTCTTCGGCTTCTTGGATTCTCTCGGTTCTTCTTCCGCATCCGGCATATCATTATCCTTCAAGGGTCGCTTCTTCAGTTTCTCCTGTATCAGCTTCTCCACTCCCTTCGTTTTCTTAAATGATGGATTCGTTGGATCGATATTGAATTCCGGCTTCTCGTAAACTGCCCTAAACCGATCATCGTCCACATCGATCTCGAAGTCGTCTCCGGTTGTACTCAGCTGTCGTTGTTCTTCAATCTGTTTCTTGCTCTTCTTCAGGATTCGTTTCCGTTTCGATTTGGACACGGACTTCAAATCGATTTCGTGCTCTTGGATAGCCTTCAAATTGAAGTGGCTCTTGTCGTCCTCGCCATCGTCCAGCATCAATTCCAGCTCCGCTCGTTTGCGAGCGGATTCTTCTTCGTTTTCCTCTTCCTGTTCTCGATTTTTCTTCTTTTTATCCTTTGTGCTGGGTTTCTTTACATCGAATTCCTTCTCGTCGAAGGCATTGGCAAAGAAGGGATCATTCAAATCAACTCCATACGGCAAATCGTCCTCCGATTCATCCTCGTTTGTTTCACCATCGCTGTTCAGTTCGCCTCGTTTCTTCTTCTTTTTCAGCTCCTTGCGACGTTTTTTCTTCTCTTTGGCCTTCTCCAGGATCTTTTCAAACGGATTTACGTTGTCCCGTTTCTTTTTCTCCGTCTCCGGTTCCGACCCCTGATCCTCTTGATCTTCCTCATTCACCTTCCAAGTGAACTCCATCGCAACTTTTTCATCCTTCTCCTTATCCTCCTGTTCCTTGATTTCCCCTAGTAGCGCCTTGTATTTGGCAATCATGTCTTGTTTTTTAGACTTTGTATTGCCCTTTTCGACCAGTTCGTTATCTTCGTCGGAATCATTTTCTTGTTCTTCCGCCTCACTCGCTTCTTTCTCGTCTTCCTCTTCGCTGCTGCTGCACGCCACATACTTCTTTAAATCGGTGTCCGTCACTTCGGTCAGCTTTCCAGCGCGAATCTTCTCATTAAACTCCTTCCGATCCACATCGTTCTCATCCCAGGTCAGTTCTACCTTCGATTGGTTCAATGCCGACGTGATGAACACCCTAGGCTCATACTTTCCCACCTCCGGCAGTTCGGTGCACTTTTCTTTCGGTTCATCATCGAATTCCATATCGTCCGGAATGAATCGGAGGTCCAGCTTGTTCGCGGTGCTTTCGTACTCAACCCCATCACATTCCTTGTACAGCTTATCGGCCGTGTCAATGTTGTCGCATACGACCACTGCGTAGTAGTACTTGAGTCGATTTAGTTGATACTCCCTAAGGCGCTCCAGTTGCTTCTCCTTGAGTTCTTCCTCGTCCAGATCTTCTTCGTCCGACTCATCCGCCTTCGGAGCCGTCAATTCCTGTGGTCCTTGTTCCTCTTCCTCCTTCATTCTCTCCTTACCGAACTCCGACGGATAGATCTAAAATTAATAATAGCATCATCTAACAAGTTACTACTAAAACAGGTCTTCCATACCGTGACACTCAGAATCATCGACCCTCTCGGGAGAAATGAATTTAACATGACCATTATATCGACCGCTCTAACCCGGTCCCAATCGAGGTTGCAAAGCGCCAATCTCGCCGTCGACTCTTCAGTCCGCTCCGCGTCGGCATCCAGCTCTCCCCAAACATGTTCGATAAACATCTCCTCCCCATCGTCACCTTCATCCGCCGAGTCATCATCCGAAGAACTATCCGACGCAATGGCACCCTCTCCTCTGGCGTAATCAATCTCCAAATCTTCCAATCTCGATTTCACCTTATCCGGCATTGCCATCGCTTTCTCCTCGGCATCCAATTCCAGCCCATCCGAGTCAGAATCAACCTCCTCCTCCTCCTCCTCCTTCTCCTTTTTATCCATCTCGTCTTCCCCTTCGGAAGACGATCCCAGCTCGTAATACTTCCGCAGCTCATTGCTCTCGGTCTGTTTTACCTTCCGGCCGTACTTGTCGATGGTGTGCTTCACGTTGAACTTTTCGTCTTTGAACATCGATTGGAAGCGTTTGTCTATCTTTACCCTCTTCTCCGTCTTCGGAATTCCCTTGAAACGTGGATCATTCACAAGGTGTGCAAACCGCTCGTCTTTCCATATTTTCGACGGTTCACCACTGTCGTCGACTGGCTGTTTTTTCGACACTCCATTGCTGGGATGTTTATCCTTCTTAGGTTTAGCCATTGTGGATAGAAATTTACTATCAATAGCACTATTTCAACAATATTTTCAAACAAAACGCGCGAACGACTTGCACCAAGAACGGACACCGACAGAATCGCGAACCGGAGAAGTTTTGAAAACAAAACAGCATGGTTGATCAGTGATGCCAGTATTTGACAGCTGTTTTTTTTTTATATTTTTTTTCAATCTGCTATTCGGGGATAGGAAGGATTAGCAGAGTGCGATCGATTTACACGGTAAGAATTTTTTTTCCGGTTTCTTTGTCATAGAATAATAAATAAATTTTCACTCGAAAAAAAAATTATAATTAAACAACGAAATTATAATGATTTTTACTGTTGAATTTTGAGCACATTTAAATTTATTATGATCATGAATTTCATTGTGATTTTATGGTAATGGAAAAAATGTCAAATCAGTGCCAACATTTCAAAGGGACGTAATTGCTTTTGTAAACAATGATTTTAGTCGTCAATTTCTCGCGAATGAAATCTTACCTCTCCAAAATGACAATGCTAGCTAGTAGAGGAAACATTCCTCTACCTGCTGGTGTCATTATTTTTCATGAGTGAGCTTTTATTCACGAGAAATCGACGGCTAAAGCCATTGTTTACAAATGCAATTACGCCCCTTTGAAATGTTGGCACTGAAATGTAAATATCATGCACGGATAGAATAATCTCCTTACACAGCAAAAAAAATGTAATATCGATCAATGTAATTCAAGCTGATGTATGAAATAATTATGTAATAGCAAAAAGCAGATACAATATTACATCAATGGATGTAATTTTGTTCGCATAATCGATGTACATCGTACAACGCTGGGGACAAGACAGCTGTACTCAGAGTAAATATATTTGCAGCGAGTAAATTTGAGTTACTCATATTTACTCGAAAATTATCAGAGTAGTCTGGATTTTTTAATCAACGAAAATATCATCTAACAGCATATTTCGTTTGAAGTATCTGTTCACTCATTTGAAAGATCGAATCGCTCGTTTAATAAATCGAATTGTGGACAAACGAAATGCTCTTGTGGTGGTTTGACTGCACGACGGTTTTACGAGGCTTGTCGTTCGTGTGTGACTTGGATGCCTTTCAGGCGCCTTCCCTCGTTGGTAAGGATTGACATGGCCTAGGACGATACAGGAGTGACGGGAGTGACGGGAGTGACCCGTTACAATAGGGGAATGCTCCTTTTCGGTAACCTGAGGTACAACCTGAGCTTTAAACGTCCTTCGTGGTCAATAGAATTGGTCCTTGACTGCTGATTGTGGTATATTATGTAGCTGCTGATTCTAGGCCAGATTAAGTCAGCTCTGACCAGCTTCGTGGAGTTTGTTAAGGTTCAACAATTAAATTTGTATTCTTCTTATTTTTGAAATATTCTCCAATCATCATCATAAGTATACGCATACATTCACAAATTATTAATACAAAAATTTAACACATGTATTTCATGATTTTAGAACGAAAACTTCCCGGCCAAAGCACATTCACTGTATTTACTTACTTGTGTTCTTACACACAATCGAATACACGAAACTCAAAACTCTTGGTGAACAAAATTGAACACTAATAAAACCACTTAAGCGCTTTGTAAATGTATCATTGAAAAAACGTTGCCAGATGTATTGCCTCTAGCAATGAATTAAAGTTTATTAAAACAAGAAATTGTGAAGTTTGACTCATTAACATGGGTGAGTGGATGTATTTAATGGTGAATAAATATCGAAGGATATGTCAAAAAGAAGAAGCAAACAAATTATTTACCCTTTGTGGAACCTTAACATTAATAATCATGCCATGGTCAACAACCATAAACAGTGCCGTACCGTTTTTGGAAACACCGCCTCATATGTTTATTTCCTCAATTTTGTCCCCAGAGCACAACATTTCATGAAATATCAAGCGTCTAATCCTTGAAGAATGATCGAGTAATCCTATAAATCGAATGGAGCTTTCGTTGAATTTATATACAGCATAAAATGCAAAAATCATTATATTCTTATCTTATCTTCTCTTCTTATCTTTTTTGAAAATCGTGCAGGCTGTAGTACTGTATTATTTTTATATATTTGTGTAAATAACGTTTTCATTGAGTTTCTGGAAATTTAAAAAAACGTGAACTATATTTCTCTAAGAATTTAATTTATTGAATTAATTTAGCCTAATCCGAACCTATCGAACCGCCTCAAAAGTCCCTACACAGAAATTCCAAGAAAGTACGTCAACTTACTTTGCTTGACAGCATTGGTTTCAACATTATTTTCAATATAACAATCAGGTTGCTATGTGTTTATAAGATATTGAGCAACGTGAGTTACTCAAAATTAACTCCGGTTTTACTCATGATCGAAAGCTGTCTTGCCCCCAGGTACAACGTTATATTACACAACCGATGGATTGACCTGGTTGCAGCAGTCTGGATGTAATATTCAACAACATTTTTTTCTGTGTACACTCAAAAAATTCGACACATTTTTATTGGTGAATCTCCATGTAAAATTCCACATGATTTTCATGTATCAACCAAGGGGTGGTCACTCTACACACTTATTTTGCGCCAACATTTTTCTCAGTGTACCTCAGTGTGCCGCAGCTGTACGGGCAGTGCCAAGAAGTCATTGAACTGACTTTTATTTGCTTGTGAATACTGCCTTGCTTGGCAACCCGGTATTTAACAGCTCTTGTTTTTGTTTTGTTTTTCAATGTTTTCAAAAACGACACGGAATCCCGTTGGGACTATACACTGGATGCATCCGTCTCCAAGATGCCATGTCTGTATGGAAATGTTGTCAGGATCTCGGTCAGGATAAAGTTCTCGAAGACCAACGAGGGTACCGCCATGGTCCTTGCACAACATGCAGCACTTGCACAACATCCAGCACTTGAACAACATCGAATGAATGGAAATGATGGTAGCAAAATTCAAATAGCATTTTCCAAGCAGAACTACTTGTCAGAGTCCACCAGACAATTCGATCAGCTTCAAGGTCTACAGGGCCTCCAAGAACAATCGCTTCCCAGGCCAGCAAAAATCGCATTCTCCACTTCTTCAATACCCACCCGTATGCCGTCCGAGGATCTGCTGCTGACTGCATTCACCACCAAGGACTGCCACCCGTCGCAAGTGCGAATGTTCCCGCTGAAATCGGAACGTTACTCCACCGGATTGGTCGAGTTCTCAAGCAACCCTGGCGAACGCCATCATGAAGAGCAACCACAGCGCGGTCGATCCCGAAATTCCCGTTCATTATGAAGTTGTGCTTCTCCTCCTCCTCCAAGAAGATGAACGGTGCGTGGAGCAATGAGAACATCGAAAACACGTTAGCTTTGAAAGAGCGGAAGTTTGTTTTTCTGAGAACAGAAAGGATTTTCCTTTTTCGGTGTAGTTAATTTTATAATTCGTAATTATAGGTAATTTCTTATTGTGTTAGTTGGAAGTGCAAAAAGTCAAGAGAGTAAAAATAATTTGTTGAACTATTAGAGATTTTGCCAAGACGGTCCTCCAACATTATACGTTGAACGATGGAATGGTAGGTGTAGCAGCCACCGCCATGGATGTATTCGAGCAGTTCGAATGGTCGGATGGTATAGTTTTTGTTTGGTTGTTGACTTTCCGATTAAATCTCAAGCACCGCTTGTCGAGACCGGACCAAGATTTCCAGCGTCGACCACGGCTATACAAATTACCGATGCAACTCCCGCAGCTGCTTTCAATGCTGCTGCTACTGCTGATCCTTCTGCTGGTCCGTGTCCTCTAAAATTCACCAAAAAAGAAGGACCAGCAGCAGCATTGGAAGCAGCCGCAGCCGTAGGAGCTGCATCACTAGTTCGTGTAGCCATGACCGGAAACTTCGGTCAGGTCAAGGTACCGATGTAAGCTGTTCTTCGTCTGGGAGGAAATGTGGATGCGACTGCCGTCACGGGTGTACGATTTTGAGAATCCATGGCGAGACTTGGTGGAGATTCACGGTTGTTTTGAAAATAATTTGGTTATATTGTGGCAACATCAATAACAAATTTTGACACATGCACACTGCGCAAGCACAGAAAAAGTTCAGTGTTGCCAGTAACTTTAAAGATCATAAAAATTGTAACCATGGGTGCCAAACAGCACCACTGACTTCGCCCGGGTGTGCCCAAGTTTGATTTTGGCACACTGTGTAGAGTGACCAACCCCTTGGTATCAACACATAAACAGAATCCACTCAGAAGTGCAAATGAAATTTATGAGTCAAATGAATAGTATGTGTACACACTTAGAAAATATTACCGAACTCGGTTTGATTTCAACCGAGTTTTTATCTGCTGAACGCTCGGTAGTCTTTTCGGTTCAAAGAAGAATAACCGAGCTGTCGTTAGTTCTTTTTGCTACCCAAAATCTGTCAAAGTTACCGAAAATCTAGGTTGACGAAAAATAAATTTAAGCAGAAATAACCGAACATCGGTTTACTCAAGAATTACCGAACGCTGTCAAACAAACCGACATACCTGTTGTAATTACGGAATTCGGTTATCTTGGACAGCGCTTGGTTTTCACTTCAAATCCTGCTTTAAATTTTGATTAAGGATACGTTGCTTCGAATTTTCATAAAAATAAAATCAGTTTTGTCAAAGAAATGCATGAAATATATTTATTTAATTTGTTTTGGCGAATAAAAACTTCCGTAACGCGAAATATAGCGTGAAAAAGTACAGTAAAAAAATATCACTGACTTTGAAGTCATTCTTATTCAAATGGCTTTTAAAATGCCTTTGCAAGCCAGAGAAATAACCTTGCATATTTTCACGGCACGAGAAACAAACTATAACACAAGATGCCTGCAAATAAAATTATACCGTTAGTTTCAAATACTCACAAAAGATTTCAATCATCATTGATGTAATATTGTATCTGCTTTTTGCTATTACATCATTATACGCCTTTTTAATGCACCACCAACGTAGAGTGCGCCACGCGAGTTCGAGAAGAAACGTCAACCAAACCGTTTGTTTACATCAGAATAAGTATTTTCCCCAACGCAAATAACAGCATTTTTCATTCAAAATCTTGCCAATTTCCATCGGTAATTTTCTTATTGTACGATTTTCCACAAATCTGAACTGATTTGCACCTTAACTATTCACACACAAGTAATCCGGAAGATCATAACCACTAAGACACTTTTCTAATTTTCCATTTTTCTCAACAAAAATATTCCTGAACACCAGCAGGATCTTTTCGAAAACGTTACAGAATTAAATTTTTCAACTGTAGATTAAGTTTTGCAGCATCTCAGATGAATCAATTAATCAGGAAAAGTAAAAAAGTGTTCCGCTTCCTATGTCTCAAGGCAAACATTTATGCCCACAACACTCTTTTTGACGTTCTCCTATTCACCACCAGAGGTGGAATCGATCGTTTAGTTTCTATTGAAAAGGCCTATTTTATACATCAGCTTGAATTAGATTGATTGATATTACATTTTTTTTTGCTGTGTATATTTTCTCAATTACTGATGATTCTCTCCGTGCACGCATGTGCTGTCATGCACCTTATCAGTGAGTATTATTCTCTGGCTATCTTCCTCGTGCCCCTCGGTGAATTTATAACCTCAAACTCTGGTAAACAATCGTCAAAAAAAAACACCACTGACAGTTCTCCACATTCATGTAATCAGTTCATCGCATGCAGCTATTTTCTGCATTCTCCTTTGTGTAGTGCAATTTTTTCCTCAAATTTGTACAAAATTTGAGTGCTTTCCAGCATCAAATGTAAATGTAACGCAACACAATGTACCATGTTTGTCGATCGAATTGGCGAGCGCCGCAAATTTCCACATTTAAAGTGCTCTGTGACCTGCTGAAGCGAAACGTCCTCCGTGCTCCGTTGGCGAAATGTGGTTTCACGGTGCGATCCGCCAGTGGTAAATTTTAAAATGCACTTTTGTTTAGTGAAAAGACTTAATATGTTTTCTTTTCCAGGCAACGCTCACACATTCGAATCGATGATGGCCAATCGTCGTGCCGAAGCTCGCCGTAGCATTCTGGTTCAAGTTAGCTCGGAGCGATCCTTCCCAGAGCTTGCCAAGTATTGTTCGCAGTTCGGAACGATATCCAGCTCACATCACTACCGAGTTGGAGCCAGCGCAGGGTTCGGAGATGACGAAGGAGATTATCACTATATTGTGGTAGAATTCAGCGAATCAGAAGCAGCGGATGCCGCAATTCGATCGGCGGTTTTCAATGAAGAAAAGCCCGGAGTGAGGGCAAGATCGATCTTCCTATGGTTTAGGGCTGGACCTAGACCGAAGTTAGCGGTCAAAGATACCAAAGGGAAAGAGGATTCAAAGGACAAATTGAGTAGCGTGGAAGGTTCCAGGATTGTTGACGATGATGAACTGAAGGAACTGCTGATGTCGGCTGAGAACGTTGAAGATCAGGTCGAAATTCTGCACGGAGCGACGTGCTTGAATGACATTGGCAAAAGGTTACGATTTTTGGCGGTGAGACAGATGGAGTCTTCACTGCAGGGTATGTTTCCGCAGGCGGTGGCGTATCCATTTGGATCATCTGTGAATGGCTACGGTAAGATGGGATGCGATTTGGATTTGATTTTAGATCTTGATTCGGAGGCCGGAGCTAAACAGGATCCAGAATCAAGATTGGTTTTCCATACGAAGGCAACGAATCCAAACGAGAGGTCACAAATCCAGCGGCAATTGGAATCGATCGGAGATGTCTTACAGTTGTTCCTTCCAGGGGTGAACTGTGTCCGTAGGATATTGAAAGCGCGTGTCCCAATCATCAAGTACCATCACGAGCACCTGGATCTGGAAATCGATCTAACAATGAACAACATGACCGGTGTCTACATGTCGGAGCTGCTCTACCTCTTTGGACAAATAGATCAGCGCGTTCAACCGTTAACTTTTTGTGTTCGAAAGTGGGCACAAGCCGTTGGCCTTACGAACCATACTCCCGGGTATTGGATATCCAATTTCTCGCTTACAATGTTAGTGATGTACTTTTTACAACAGCTCAAAGAACCTATTCTGCCACCGATTAACAAGCTGACACAAAAAGCAACCCAATCTGACCTGAGGGTCACTGAAAATCAGGTAACTTGTTCCTTCCTACGGGACATTAGTAAACTCGATTTCAAGAGCACAAACACGTCGTCCCTAGATGAATTACTCTTACAATTCTTCGACTTTTACTCGCACTTTGATTTCAACCAACGGGCCATCAGTTTGAACGTGGGATCATCGATTCTGAAGCCTGACCATAGTCCAATGTATATCATAAATCCGTTGGAAACGGTTCTGAACGTTAGTAAAAACGTAAATCTCGAAGAAACGGAACTGTTCCGCATCCAGGTGAGAAACGCCCTTTGGTTGCTGGATACACACGACAAGTCTACCGTAACTGGTGGAAGCGAATGGGGGCTGGTCAGTTTATTCGGAAACAAGATAAAGGAACGAATCACACCGCAGATGTTCTTCACCAAACGGTTGGTGAACGTGAAAGACATCTTCGACGATGTGGCAAACGAAAACGTAGAGTACAAGAACAAAGCTGTGCGAAATCAGGTATCCAACATTCAGAAAGTGACCCGAGAGGAAATAAACAAACTAACCGGTACGGGTAGCGGCGGAGGGATCAAGCTGAAAAGGAACGCCAAACGGAGGTGACCAAAGGGGTGGAAAGGTGACACTAGTCTCTGATGCGAAACTTGTGACAAGTTGTTCATTTAGTAGGAGTTAGACAATATATGAAATCTGAGAGTAATGTTGAAATTCACTATCATATCACACATCAATGGCAATGGTCGACCTACTTTACATACGCTCACGTTTTCGGATTTCAAATGCTATTGGCATCTGATGACATCGCCGATGGAGCTCAGCTTTCGACATCCATTTAGAATTTGGTCGCACAAAATGGGTCATTTCTCCAAGAGGGAATAACGTACAAAACATCTAATGCCACAGATACACTTGTATGACTTGTATGAGCACCTTCATGGTCACACTTGTATAGTTTTTGTATAGTGCACATAATTGTTATACAAATAATGCTAATGCTCATAGTTTGTCATCCAAGTGTATCCGCGGCATCATTTTATAGGTTTTTTTTTAACTTTAAGGAAAAAATACAAGAACAATTATTCGTCAGCTTTTCGGATGAATTTTCGAACTATTCGCTGAATACCTCCTATCATCTGAACGTTGAATTGTCGTCACGTCATCGTTGTTGTCGGCTTTCTTTTGAGTGTGTAACCATATTTGCTTTTTTCGGGTAGGTAGTAGACTTGCGTGTTTCGTGAAAATAGTTTTTCGATGATCTTGTTTATTGAACAATTAATTGTTGGTTGAAGAAGCCATTCCACTATTGTACAATGACTAGAGACAGTGTTTGTAAGAAATGCTCTCTGAGAAACGATCAGTAAGTCGAGCTATTCACCGTTTGCAAAGGGAGATTGCGCCTGCTTTTTTCATGCTGACTGCGTTGGTTTGAGCGAAAGAGATGTGATCGTTCTCTCGATGAACATCATTTGGCTGTGCGACGAGTGTATGGATAGATTCCGGAGAGTAAGAGATGACATAGGATCTGATTCTTCTGACGATACGGAGAATAAGCAGGGTGAACGAAAAATCGATTGAGGATGAAGTAACTGAACTGAAAGATGCAGTTGCTGGAATCATGGACACTCTGGCTAAATTCGTACCTAATGATTCTTCAGTCGATCCTCCTTTGCTACACTCAATTCCAGTCAACTCATTCGTGCTTCAGGATGGATCCAATAAGTGCGAGACTATTGTGAACAACGACGAAGGCTTACAGCAGCAGCGTGCAACGGACGACAGAAATTTCTCCCTGTTGCTAACAGACATTGAAACGAGCGTTGCTGGGAGTGATGTTCATCGAATGGTAGCTCAAGCGCTTGGTACTGGCACTCTCCATCACGAATACATCGATGTTGTAAAATTATTATCACATTGGAAAAGTCGTAAAGCAATGGACTATACAGCTCGTTCAATGTTGTTTTTGATAAACGTTGGAAATCTAAAGCGATGAATCCCTCGTCATGGCCTAACGAAAATCTGGACAATTGTGGACAATTTTGTGAATTGATACTTTTTTCAAAAGAATCGACATTCTGCTTATAATATTCAATGATATCTCTGCTATAATGGCAGCTGGCTAAGTCGGGCCAGAACTTTACGGGACCTTCGTGTGACTGAATGAACTTCGATAACTTTTATCGTGTGTATTAATCATGATGAAATTTCCACCACTAAATAAATAATCCTTCCAGATCAAAACGCTGTTAACAGTTTCTTGCTACGACAACTAAAGACGAATAATTAAAAAGAAGCGGTCAAATGCTAACTGGAACAGACTTTACTAAAGCTACGGGGTTTCGAAATTTTTTTTTCAAAATTCTAGTCGAAAGCTTGACAAATTCCCTAGACCACTTTTTGACATCTTAGGCTTGGAAAATTTTTAAGATCACGAAGTAAAAAAGCCAGAACATTAGGCCTAGAATTTTTTATTCAAAACCTCAGAAAATTTGTGATAGGCTTATGACAATTAAGACATCGCAGGAAATACAATACTAGAAGGACTAGTCTATGTTGGTAGTTTGAAAACGGGTTCTTGTGTAATATAGTTTCGGAAAAAAGCTGTGACGTGTGTGCGTATTACCGAGGCAAAAGATACACACACTAAGATTATTTTACCGAAATCTCAGCAGCTGAACGTAACACTGCAACACTGATGTCGATCATTGGGCATTTTTTTTTTATTTTGGCAACCTTTGTTTTTGTTGCACCTCGGATGGCTTCATCTGGGATGTGAAAGTTTTCTCTAGTTTCGATAACAATACTTCCCACGCAACAAAGTCAGTTTGTATCGCTTGTCGTATTGATCGTATTGATATACCCATGCTTCTTTTCAAATTACAAAAATAGGAATTGAACCTAGACGTCTCAAATGGCTTGAGTCATATTTAACTAATCGCCAACAAATAGTTAGATTCAAAGGTGAAAAATCAAACCCTATTACTGTTACTTCTGGAGTCCCACAAGGCTCGCATCTAGGCCCTCTTTTGTTTATTTTATTTGTAAACGACATCTCCTTTATTCATAAAAACATACAAGTTTTAATCTAAAGGGTGATACGGTCAAAATTTGGTCAATATCAACTTGACGTATTTCTTTCAATTTTGCATTTAAAAAACCTGACCACCCCTCATTTTGAAGGTGTGTGTGTGTAGAATGTTGCTCCTATTTTGATTTTGGAATTCACTCTTGAGTTGTCAAAATGCCGTCCAAGCAAGAAGAGCAGCGTATCAAAATTTTGCTCGCGCATCGCGAAAATCCGAGCTACTCGCACGCAAAGTTGGCAAAATCGCTAAAAGTTGCCAAATCAACCGTTACAAATGTAATTAAAGTGTTTGGGGAACGTTTGTCGACAGCCAGGAAGTCTGGATCGGGGGGAAATCGAAAACCGGAAGCCGCTGAGACGACAAAGAGAGTTGCCGGTAGTTTCAAGCGAAACCCTAACCTCTCTCTCCGAGATGCCGCAAATAAGCTGGGTGTATCGTCTACAACCGTGCATCGAGCCAAAAAACGAGCCGGACTATCGACTTACAAGAAGGTAGTGACTCTAAATCGCGATGATAAACAAAATACGACGGCCAAAGCGCGATCCCGGAGGCTGTACACGACGATGCTGACGAAGTTTGACTGCGTGGTAATGGACGACGAAACCTACGTCAAAGCCGACTACAAGCAGCTTCCGGGACAGGAGTTTTATACGGCAAAAGGAAGGGGAAAGGTAGCAGATGTTTTCAAGCACATGAAACTGTCAAAGTTCGCAAAGAAATATCTGGTTTGGCAAGCCATCTGTACCTGTGGCTTGAAAAGCAGCATTTTCATAGCTTCCGGGACTGTCAACCAAGAAATTTACGTGAAAGAGTGTTTGAATAAACGTCTGCTGCCTTTCCTGAAGAAACACGGTTGTTCCGTACTGTTTTGGCCGGATTTGGCATCTTGCCATTACGGTAAAAAGGCCATGGAGTGGTACGCCGCCAACAACGTGCAGGTGGTTCCCAAGGATAAGAACCCTCCCAACACGCCAGAGCTCCGCCTAATTGAGAAATACTGGGCTATTGTCAAGCGGAACCTAAAGAAGGCCAAAAAAACTGCTAAGGGCGAGCAGCAGTTCAAGGCAAACTGGCTTTCTGCGGCGAAGAAGGTCGACAAGGTGGCTGTACAAAATCTGATGGCAGGGGTCAAGCGTAAGGCCCGGCAATTCGGATTTGGAAAAGCGGAAGCCTAACTGAATATTTTTCCTGAATTTTATACTAATTGAACTTGAAAAAGAAATTTAATTTGATTTTTTAAATAAACGATTTCACCGATTTACACGCGTTTTCCCTTGACCAAATTTTGACCGTATCACCCTTTATGCGGATGACATGGAGCTCTTTCTAGAAATAAGAAATAAAGAAGATATACAGACATACCAGATTGAAATAAACTTATTCTATGTTTGGTGTAACAAAAGCCTCCTGCAACTAAACGTTCAAAAATGTAAATCAATAGCTATTAGTAGAAAAAGAAACAAACCAGAAAATACAATTGTATTAGGAAATCAGGCAGTAGAAAAGTGTGAACGAGTTAGGGATTTAGGAGTTATAATTGATTCAAAACTAGCATTCACTGATCATTATAATACAATTACCAACAAAGCAAATAATATGCTTGGCTTTATCAAACGATTCAGTTACAATTTTCATGACCCGTATACAATAAAATCACTGTACTTTTCATATGTAAGATCAATACTTGCAGCATAGTTTGGTTACCTTTTTCATTCACGCATGAGGAACGATTAGAATCAGTGCAAAAGCAATTCTTACTATTTGCTCTTCGTAAATTAGGTTGGATAAGATTTCCTCTTCCATCTTATGAAGCACGCTGCATGGTCATCAACATTCAAACATTGAAAGCGCGTCGTGAATTTGCAATGGTTTCGTTTGTGAACGATATAGTATCGCATCGAATTGACTCAGTAGAACCAAAGATGAATACTAAGATGAAACTGTCGGAAGAAAAACTTTCTATTTTTGTGTCCTCTTTCACGGTCCCTTTCATCCAATGAATACCCCCCGTATGCAAGGTAATTTTGTGGTTTTGCTGCCCCCTCGGTAGAGATGAAATTTTGCGCACTTTTTTATCAAAACAATCACACCAAAATCAGAGATGTCCCATTTTTTAATAACTCGATTAACAACGAATCGATTATTTTTTGTTCGCTGTGCTGTCATTTTTCCCCCAATGAGAGTGCAGCACATGTTTGAAACGATGGATGATGATCCTCTGGAGAAGTTGATGCTTATATCGGTATGATATAACCGATTCCAAATATTTTACTTTTCGGTTCGTTAATCGATTATTCGAACGAAAATCGGCCATCACTAGATGAATGTGAAACGTCATTTCAAATATAAGGACCGCACATAAATAATGATACAATTTGAAAGGGACCGGGACTAATCACAAATTACGTCCCCCGGTAACTGGTAACACGAGTGCTCACCGGTTGGTAGAACTGTTATCAAAGCTTAATTTTTACATACCTTCTCGGCAACTGCGAACTCGAAATATATTTACTACAAATCACTATCACACAAATTATGCCAAATTTGGTCCACTTGGGGCCTCCCTTAGCTCAGTCGGTAAAGGCGCAGCTACAAAGCAAGACCAT